CTGTCTGCTTGTTTTTAAGTGCAAAGTTAAATCGTATGCTGTGCCCACTACAAGTATTGAAGCTTAAATTTTAGCATTATAAGCTCTCAAGCTTACCACTGAGCCTTTAAGGAGCAGTCCTTTGCAGATTTCAAGTAATTAGTGTGCAAAAATAGCATTTCAGATCTATCTTTTGTCTGCCATAAATAAGTGAAAATCATTGATTCCTGTAGTTAAATATAATTAAAGTCATTTGTGTTAAGCCAACAAGATATCTCGTAGTTTGTAGAAAGTTCTAGGCCTCAGTCGAGCAATATATATAGGCAACCAAGTTAGTGCAAGTAAATTAGAAATGGTGAAAGTTTAGTGAGAGATAGATATAAACTGGGTAATCGTAAGTTTAACCATAAAGTGTGTATAGTGGCAAGTTTTAAAGTGTATAAATTACAGATTGTATTGTAATAACTGAGTAGAGAAGAATAGTTATTCTTGTCAATTGGGTTCTAAAGTAACTGAACCAGCCTGTGTGGACTTCTGACATAAAAGAGAATTATTTAAAGCCTGGATTCAACTGTAGCAGAGTAACAAACATTTGTATATATATATACTGTAGTTGACTTGTTTTAATATGTTATTTTAAAACAAATGGATTGTGTGCTGTTTTTTATTGTAATTTATTGCCAACAAGTCACATACACTTACTGTAAAGAATCTGGTCCATTCAAAACCTAACTCTGCCCATGTGGAAATTCTAATCTGTTTTACATTTAGAAGGTTATTTTAATGGATACCATCACAAACATAATGTTAATATGATGAGCTTTTCAAAGGATCTTCTTTGCTCTCCACCTCGTTGCCTTCTAACCTTGAAAATTGGTTTGCTATAGACGTCACAAACAGAAAATTAGACTCTGGGACATATGTAATAACTGAGCAACATGACCTTCAAGCATCCATATGCTCCTCTTCTTGGTATCATTACTCAACCAATGTCTAATTTGTCTGTGAGCCATTACACTTACTTCTAAAACGGTTCCTAACCAAGAAAACTAATGTATACTGAATTTTGTTGGTACATCAATACACTTTTACTAGTATTGAGTTTAGTTTAACCTGAAATGTTTATCTTTAGTAAACATTGAGTTGTATGTTTGCAGAGAGCGTGGTAGGTTTTTGATTAACTTGTGAATGCAATGAGCAAAGGTGCATGGTACAATAACAGATGTTAATGTGGGATAATTATCACCCAAATTGTTATCTTATGCAATATTTTTCTAAGTTTTAAGATGTGGTTTGTCTGCTTAAAATATTCCATGTTTATAAGAAGTGTTTTTACTTGGCACATTGTTCATGAATTTCTAGTCATCCATTTCATGGTTGAGTTGTAAGACCATTTTCTGAGGTGCTCCAGGTGCATTCAAGAACATATGGCTGTTTTTTCCGAGATGGTTAGGCAGGTAAAAGATGGTTTAAACGTCAGGTCAGCATAAATTGAGCAGTAACAGTCCTGAGAAGGACTACTTTGCTCGTAGACACATTCCAATAAAATTTCCAGTATGAGTTGATCATTGATCAATGTGGCATCTCATGAAAAGAACAGATTAAATAAAATTTATCCTTTCTTCTCTGTTGCTAGGGCTGTCTAACTGGTGTAAATCTATACCACATGAAGTTGAATTTATTGATCCAGCAAAAGTTACCTTTCACAGTTCTCACAGTTAAAATAGCAAAATAGTTTGTTAACTACTGACAATTAGGAACATGTGTAAGGTAAGAAATAATAAAAAGATTTTGATGATAATTAGAAACAAAAGATAAATATATCAATGGTTTGTGTGACATTACATCACAATCAGACAATTTTAGACAAATATTTCTCGACTGGCCCTATACAAGAGAATACATGAAAACAATTCTCAAAATGCATTTTCCCTCACCCATAAAAACATTTAAAAAAATACACTACACTACATTAGAATCAACTTAGAAATATTCATGTTATGAATATGATAATTAATTATCATTTAGCATTGTAATGCCATCACAAATCCCCCACTGACCAGTACAGTATGTGACAAGTATCTTTACATAACATATCTGTAAACCAATCTTGATTATTTCATGTTTGAATCTGAAGATATTTTTTCTTAATCTGAACCTTTCACACTCTTATATTATTTTAGAGTTAGTTATCCATCTATCCTTTTCACTCAAATTCATTGAAGGAGTGTAGGGTTTCTTTTATTTTTATAAGGCAAACTATCAGATTCTCACACAGCTTTGGCTACTGACCTGCATGCTTGCAGGTTGAATGCAGTCCAGTGGTTTGATTTTCAGACTGTGGATCTAAGGTTGCACAACTTGTATCCCATTACAACCAAAACCAACCACTTTGTCACTGTGGGTGCATTTTAAGAAAGACTGTCAGATACCACTATTTGGTCAAACAAGAGTTAGCTTAGGATAGTGTGTAAAGCCTTCCTTATAGTCTATCACGTCAAAAGTAGAGAAAGCTAGTGTTTAGCTTTGCACAAAGTCCAATTACCAGATTTTACATTACATCATGATCATGCTATTAAGTGTTAACTTTCTGTGGAAATGAAATTGAAAATTAACCCCTGTCATTTAAGTATCAATTATGAAATGGAGATATAAAAAAATTGCTTTATTTTATCAGGTAGTATGATCTGTTTTTATTAACTATGAATTGATTAGAATAAAATATTGCTCTTCTGAATCTGAAATGTGTTTATATCTGAATAAAGATTATAAACAATATTTTTTAACCTAACACATCCTTTCAGGGGGATTTATTTCAGTCTTTATAGGTTGTCCCTCACAGTATGATCATGTTTTTCTTAGTTTTTTTTTCATTAATTCATGTTTTCAGCTTAACAGCTCTGAAAAGAACTTCAGGAAAGAATTATTATTCACATTAAAGCAGATATAATAATAC